CTTAGAAGCTGTTTTTACCATATTTAACCCTGTCTGAAGACAGATATCTAATCATTTGTATTAGATTTTAACATTCTCTGTCTTAACAAAGGTTAAAGGTTTGGGAGCTGGGCTTCTCCATTTAATTGGGACAGATCACATTGAGCTAAATGCTAGCAATCTACCATGACACCTTCTCCTCAGAAACATCAAAACATTTTAAGAAAAAAGTAAAGGTATGCTGTGTGAATACAAACAAATAATACACATTGTGGCGAAGGGTAGGCAGGACAGACAACACAAGGCAGATGGCAAACACTTAAAGATTTATTAAAACAGACACCAGTCACTCAATGGGGAGTAGTGCAGAGAGAGACAGAGCCCAAAATACTTGTAATCCAGCCCCGGTGGGCAAAGGTAAAGTCTCTACAGCAGTTTATAATCCATCAGGGAGGTAGGAGGCAGTTCATAAAGAGTTCAGATAATACAGGGGAAGCATACACTCACGCAGAGCTGATGTAGTAGTCTCAGGCAGAGCTGGCAGCATCTCAGGCAGAGCTGATGTGGTAGTCTCAGGCAGAGCTGACGTGGTAGTCTCAGGCAAAGCTGTTGTGGTAGTCTCAGGCAGAGCTGGCAGCGTCTCAGGCAGGGCTGGTGTAGCTTCTGGGGTCCCCCTTACTCCAATGGGGCTTAGGCAGAGTCTGGTCACTAGAGTCCCGCCGCAGCTGGGATCCCTCATTGGCTGTACAGCAGAGTGGATGATCGGGAGAGACTAGCACCGGTCTCTTAAACCGGTGTTAGACGCTTCCCGGTCATCCTGGTAACCGGGGTGGGCCGTGGGCGGCATGCTTCGTTGCTCTGCAACGAGGCTCACCCCCCTGGACATGGGTCGCGCTCACATGAGCGTGGCCTTTCTCCGGGCGATACGAACATCTGGACCGTGTGGCGTCGCTGTGACGCCGGGACCCGGACATTCCCCACAGGAGGTTCGCAGCTCTCCACGACAATTACATTTGGGCACAAACAGGCTGGACAGGATGGAAAAGGAAACACAATAATTGAATTTGTAGCTGTAAACAGGATGACTGTGGGGAGAGTACTACATTTGGGCACACAACAGAATGGGCAGGATGGACAGGGAAGGAAACACAATAATTGAATTTGTAGCTATAAACAGGATAACAGTGGGGAGAATACATTAATTGAATTTGGGAACCTGTTGGCTGGAGGAGGGTGGAGGGGGCGCATTTAATTACAGCTAGGAGCAATTGGCACACAGGAGTAGAATACTAATTTGAAGATGCACTTCCTCTGGACACAAGGGATTAATAAAGGAATTAATAACTGGGACTGGCAGAGAACGCATATCGTGACAAACATATATTGGGTTTTTCTCAAAATTGACAAAAAAAAAAAACTGACTGTAAAAAAATTCAGACCTCATGGATGACATGATACTGCCTTGGTATACAGATCTGCTAACCCAGAAACAAATGAATAACATTACGTGTGATTAGACATGTGTATTTTGTTTTGATATGTTTTGTTTTTCAGATGAAAATTTCATTTTTGGAAATTCAGATGTATACAAATCTCCGAAAGCACATTATTAACGAATGTCAATGAATCTGAAAAAAGTTATAACAAAATTAGTAGTTTTGGTCCAGGGGGAAGTGAATTCAGTTTTCAAATTTGTTTGGATTTGAATCTAAAATTTCTTAGCATTCGTTAATTCGGATGCACGCCAGTCAATATTGCCCAATCAGCTCATGCCATTTCTCTTGGTGGATTGGATTAGCATCCAAAAATATTGAATCTTTTTGATTTGAATCTATCCGATTCAATAATATATCTAATATATAGCAATCTTGCAGAAATGCTGCAAACTTTTTGAATCCCCCTGGACCAATGGTTCAATGACGAATATGATGAAACAAAATTCTTCAATGAACGAGTGCATCCGAAATTAAATGGAACTTTTCAGCGTGCACATGTCTACATGTGATGTTTTATTAATTACGACAATATCTTTTGTTATTTTTATTTTATTTAGTTGGTCAGAACATCTCTTAATATTTTTGGATTATTAAAATAAATTAGACCTGTCCAAGAGATATACCAATATATTTAAACACTTAGTTTTTGGCAGGCAGACACAAAACATTCCAGTGAAACAGACTGAAGTCCTTTTTTCTCAGCTAAATAAAGACATGTCTGAAAACTATTTTTACCGAGTAAAAGAATAAAATCAGCGAGGATCATTTTGATAAAGATCAGGAGGTTGAATGAGCTCAGCGGACCACACACAATCCACAATTTTTATCCACACAATTACATTAACTCCCAAAAGTCATTTTATCACTTTCAGCAGTTGGAATTATGTCTGTCTTGTTGCTCAATCACAATCTAATTGTTAAGCTTCCTTTCACTTTGCTGGACAAATAATGACAATCTGATTTCACATTTATAAAGCATAAATCTGAACATTTACACATCTACATTTTCTATTTTTGTTCATCTTTGTTGAACACACAGAAAGCTGTCTAGCCATGGCTATGTGGTTCTCATGAAGCATTCTTAAGCTTTGATCTAATGTGAAGTGCATGTATTAAAAAAAACATTTATACTAGGAGTAATATTAAAGGTTATCTTTTTTGTCATTCTTGTATACTGCTGAAACAACTAAAAGCGGATCTTCACCCATATTTTAAAGTTATGTTTTTCATAATGCCCACCCGTAGTACATTAATCACTTCAATACTGGGCACTTTTACCCCCTTCCTGCCCAGGCCAATTTTCAGGTTTCAGCCCTTCCACATTTTGAATGACATTTTGTTCACACAACTAGAGTTTCTTTTGGTGGTATTTAATTACCACTGGGGGTTTTATTTTTTGCTACATCCAACAAAAAAAAGACCGAAAATTTTGAAAAAAACAAAACACGTTTTTCTTTGTTTTTATTATAAAAGTTTGCAAATAAATAATTGTTCTTCATAAATTTAGGCCAAGATGTATTCTGCTGCATTTCTTTGGTGAAAATAACCCAAATCAGTATTTATTATTTAGTTTGTAGGAAAGATATAGAGTTCAAACTATGGGATATATCTGAAAATGTATCAATCCTGAAGTACTGACAGCCAATCTAATTTCTTGAGGACCAAACATATCAGAACAGTACAGATATCCCCCAAATTACCCGTGTTTGCAAAGTAGACAGTCTGACATATTTCATAAGAGGCATGGCGAATTTTTTGAAGTTGTAATTTTTTTGTCCTAATTTTTTTGGAAAATGAAATTAAAAAAATTATTCTCACAAAATGTTTTTACATACTGTCACCAGTGCAGTACAGCATCATCATATAACTGGTGTGGCGGTGATCAGGGACACTGACTGGTGACAGTACAAAAAAAAAAAATTATAATTTTTTTCCAATTTTTATTTTATTTTTTTATTACATTTTTTCCTCTTTTTTAAGATTTTTTTTCATATTACACTATGACCAAAGTAGTATAATGTTACCATAGTAACATTGTACTACTTTAGGGAAGTGATCTGTATTTTTTTTAACACAATTTGATTTCTTATAGCAAAGAATTTCTTCGCTATAAGTAAGCATTTACTGTAACTGAATGAAATTGATTCATTCAGGTTTTTTTGTTGTGATTAACTGTGATTGGCCATGGCTAATCACATGACACAGATGTGCTGTGATTGGCCTAGCCTGTGATCACTGTGACCATTCACAGCTAGACACACTTGTATGCAATGGATGGCATGAAAGGAAGCTATCCATTGTTTACAACTGTCATGTGACCTACTGTGATTGGTCACAGCAGGTCACATGGTACTGGCAACTGGGCCTGTACACAGGTCTGTCATTGGCCGTGTCCGAGGTAAACAGCCGGTGACAGATCTCACCACAGCGCGACCCTGCAGGACTTTTGGCAAGTAAGGAATATAATTACATTATTGACAATATCGAAAGTAAATACAGCTATTTGTAAGGATCATAGGTTTGTGTTCATTAACTTTTTGAGTAGTAGATGTAGCTCCTCTTTAATGGGAATACTGATAATATAACATTTTGTAATTCCATCTGTATTGGATGGTCCCCCCAATGCTGGCTGCAATATCCAGATTGTGGGTAGCTCTTTTCCCTTGTAGGGTCCTTGAGAGCCACTCTTTTGAACCACCACTTACATGCGCTCATAGGAAAAGACAGACTGCCAGAAAGCCACTGCCCTGGTCTCCTCTCCCCTTTCCTCCCTGCACTTGCACTATCCCTTCTGGGCAGTGCATGTGAGATACTCGGTGCATGCATTCCCCTACCCAGAAATTTGCGAAAGTGGTGCTCTAAGGCCTGGATCCAGAAGTGGCATGCAGGTGGCTTGGTTTATGCACACACACCATGCTAATCATGAACAGGATAGCATGTATTAAATTGAACAAATAACATTTAATACCACTTTAATGATGACCATAGCTAGATCTTTTTTAACCACCTTCCGCCCGCCCTATAGTACAATGTACGCAAGGTGGTTCTCTCCTTCTGATAGGACGTCATATAACGTCCTACCATTCTCGCTGTGCATGCGCGGCTCAGGAGCATGCAGCGCGGCGATCGCCAGTCCGCTGTGTCCCTCGGACACAGCAGATCACGGAAAGAGCCGAAGATGTCGGCTCGGTCATGTGATCAGCTGTGTCCAATCACAGCTGATCACATGTAAACATGGAAATGCCGGTTATCGGCATTTCTCTGCTCATGAGCTGTCACGCTGACAGCTCGAGAGGAGAGGAGAGCCGGTAATCGGCTTTCTGCGGAGGGGACATGTACACTGATCATCAGGGCACTGATGATCAGTATGCCCTGATGATCAGTGTGGCCCCAGCAGTGCCACCTGTCAGTGCTCATCAGTGCCAGTGCCCATCAGTGCCAAGTGCCAGTGCCCATCAGTGCCACATCAATGCCACATATCAGTGCATACCAGTGCACATCAATACCACATATCAGTGCCCATCTGAGCTGCCTTTCAATGTCACCCATCAATGCCAGTCAGTGCCACCTATCCATGCCAATCAGTGCCACCTATCAGTGCCAGTCAGTGTTGCCTATCAGTGCGCGTCAGTGCCAGTCAGTTCCACCTATCAGTGCCAGTCAGTGCTGCCAAACAGTGCCAGTCAGTGCCGCCTAACAGTGCCAGTCAGTGATGGCTAACAGTGCCAGTCAGTGCCGCCTATCAGTGCCATATATCAGTGACATGTATCAGTGCTGCCTGTCAATGCCCATCAGTGCAACCTACCAGTGCCTCTTCATCAGTGCCCATCAGTGCCACCTATCAGTGTCCATCAGTGCAGCCTATCAGTGCCCATCACTGCAGCCTCATTAGCACACATCAGTGAAGGAGAAAAATCACTTATTTACAAAATTGTATAACAAAAACTAAGAAAAAACTTTTTTTTTTTCAAAATTTTCAGTGGTTTTTGGTTTGTTTAAGAAAAAATAAAAATCCCAGAGGTGATTAAATACCACCAAAAGAAAGCTCTATCTGTCTCAAAACAATGATACAAATTTCATATGGGTACAATGTTGAATGACTGCGCAATTGTCATTCAAAGTGTGACAGCGCCTAAAGCTGGAAATTGGCCTGGGCAGGAAGGGGACTAGTGGTTAAATTGAGTGATTGGCAGCAAGTTTTGAAAAAGTAAACGTAGATTTAGATGAACAAAAAAATCTTCTGAAGATACAAGTTTCATAAAGAAAACCTCTCTACAGACATTCTACAGCAGAAGTGGTTAAGATCTAAAGTCTGTCTGGAAAACGTGTTGATAAACAGTTTTAGACACAACAATACATCAATTATCAGGGGACCTTACAAATATCACAGTTTTTGTTGAATTAGCTAAAAACCAGGCCACATCTGGTCACTAATCTGGCCTCAGCTTTGGAGGGCAGCAGATGTTAGCAAATTTGACTTCAGTAAGGTATTTCTTCCTCTCAAGCAGAACATTTATCCCCCATTTCAGCTTGTTTTCCTATGCCTGTTCAACATATGGAATCCCCTTCTTTCTAACTGCCCCTGTTCCAACTTGTATGCTTAGTTGCTCTATATATGCTATATGCTGCACGCTCAAAAAAGTACATTAGTTGTTTCTTCAGGTATTTTTGCCCCATAGACTCTAATGGCTGCACATGTAAATACACAACACGTGTTTGGTGCATTTTGTCTTAAAAACTCCTCTCTTAATCTAGAACTGCTATACCATTCCCTTTTCCCTTGCCCAGCCTAGGAAACAAACTAGAAGCTTGCAAAAACACTCACACTAATTATGTGAAATGCCTCTAATACAACCCTTCCCCTAAAAAAAGCATTTTATAGTGACCTCTAGACAGCCAGATAATCAAATAATTCTATAAAAGGAAAGAGAAATCTTCCCAACAGTAACACAGCAAGACAAACCTGGCATAGATTTCTACCCTTTCCAGTCTTCCAACAAGTTAAAATTTACTATACAGGACCTTTAATTCTATAAAAGGAAAGAGAAATCTTCCTAACAGTAACACAGCAAGACAAACCTGGCAGAGATTGCTACCGTTCCCAGTCTTCCAACAAGTTAAAATTTACTATACAGTACCTTTAATTCTATAAAAGAATAGAGAAATCTTCCCAACAGAAACACAGCAAGACAAACCTGGCACAGATTTCTACCCTTCCCAGTCTTCCAACAAGTTAAAATTTACTATACAGTACCTTTAATTCTTTAAAAGGAAAGATAAATCTTCCCAACAGAAACACAGCAAGACAAACCTGGCATAGCTTTCCACCCTTCCCAGTCTTCCAACAAGTTAAAATTTACTATACAGTACCTTTAATTTCAGTGTTTTTCAGCTGCAAAATCTATTTTATCATTTAGCATAACATATATTTTTATAGATAACTTACCATTAAAGTAATCATTGAAGTCATTAAAGTCCATTTAAAGGCTCCTGTATGACCGTCTGAAGTACCAAATGCAGCTACTATGTAATACACAAGCCCCTAGAAGTAAACAGAAAACTCCCTCCTTACTGAGCCAAATCCTCCTTTATGTCTGTCTCACATACTACCCTCAAAGGCACTGCAGCACACAGTGGGAGGGTTTCAGCAATGGAGGCAGTGTTGCCAATTTGGAAAGCAGCTAGGTATCTCCAGGTGCTGATTGAAAAGCTACAGGCTTGTCAATCATCAATAGCAATTCTGATAACCATTCCCCCATAACATATTTCATCCCACTGTAGGGCAAGCAGGCGCAGTCTACATGAGGATGGCAACTCTACTGTGAAATCTGGAGCAGTGCAGGATCTGTTCCACCCCATCACAGGAAGCTGCATTAAATGGACTTCACTGGCAGGATCAACAGGTACCTGTGGGACTTTGCAGAGGACTTAAAAAACTGTAAGCACAGATGAATTTCTAAATAAATGCTTTAGTACACTATTTTAAGGGGGGACAAATTGTACAAGCATGAAATGCAGGCAACTAGATTTGCCCATATATACCATCAGCAGCTTCTGAAGCCTTCTTGTCATACCTAAAGGACAGGCCATTCTGAGAGACAAAGAAGTAACAGTGTGTTGGTTATCCTCTTTCTGAAGACTTGCACGTTTGTCTAGTAAAAAATAAACCAGGCGGGCACCCCAGAAATTCAGTGGTCTGTACACCACAGACTTATCTGGAGTGGTGTAGACTTTGCAATTAGAAAACGTATGAACTGATCTGGAGTACTTCATGCCTGCAGCAGTTTTGCCCCTTCCTACTAAAAAACATGACTATTAAACACAACCATTTAAAAACAACTACATTCAGTAGTCATTCAGCTTCTAACTTCAGCTTGTTCAGTGAAGCTTTGGCAATAAAACCTGGACGTTGATTGGTTTCTATGCAAAGTTGCACCAGATTTTGCACTTTTCAGTTTTAGTAAATAACCCCCACTATTACAAAATATTCTCTTAATCTGGAAAAATAGAATCTCTTAGAATCATGGGATATATATGGTAGATATAGGGCTAGCTGCCCATCAAAATGTTTGTTTGCTGGACTATATATAGGGTTTTTTATATTTCCTCCATGTTTACATTGCATTCTCCCAGGTGCTTTGATACCTCCAAAATCCAACACTCATATAACTTAATTCCTTGCATGAAGGTAAAAAAATGTCCCAGTGTTGCCCCCCGCCCTCTTAAATATTTACCTCGATCCAGTGCTGTGCCTGCCCGTAGTGGGGCTCTTCTCTCTTCCTGCATTCACAGGACGGACATCCCTCTCCCTGCATTCACAGGACAGATATGGGAGCCACTGGCCCTGGCTGCTGTCAATCAAATCCTGTGAGCAGAGCGTGAGGACAGGGCCAAGCAGCGCTGTGTGTGTCTATACATACACAAAGCCAGGCTCTGGGGCGAGCCTGCATGTGTGCCCCCATAGGAAGTGGCTTCTTATGGTGGTGCACAGAGAAGAGGAGGAGCCAAGAGAGCTGGCAGGGGACCCCAGAAGAGGAGGTTTGGGGCTTCTCTGTACAAAACCATTGCACTGAGCAGGTACGTATAACATGTTTGTCATTTTAAAAAATAAGCTTTACAACCTCTTTAACTTAAAGCGGAGTTCCACTCACGCTGTCAAAAAATAAAAGTCAGCAGCTACAAAAACTGTAGCTGCTGACTTTTAAAAAACAGCTACTTACCTGTCCCTTGGTCCAGTGGTGTGTCCCCTGCAGCCTGTTTCACCAGCCGTCCTATGTTCCAGGGGCCGGCATCTTCAGTGTGGGCACCCGGCTGTGACAGCTTGCAGCTTCACAGCTGGGTACCCACTACGCATGAGCGAGTAGTGCTGCACTTCATGAATGGTCCTGTAGTCTTCTGGGACCTGTCACGTGTCCCAAAAGACTACAGGGAGGGAAGGAGGACGCCTTCTGCTTCCGGTCGCCTAGCGATTGGACCAGAAGTGGGAACGGATACCTGTCAAATTGGGTACCTGCTCCCCCCCGCCCCCCAAAGGTGCCAATCCTTAATGGGGACCGGGGGAGCAGTCCTTAAAGCGGAACTTCCCTTTTGGGTGGAGTTCCGCTTTAAACTCCAGGCAAACAAGTTAAAAGACAAATTGCATACATATACAGTAGCTGTTGAACCTGCCAAAGGATTTGCTTTTTTTTTTTTATCGATCCAGCACAGCTCTGCCACACAGTTCAGTCTACGTCTACCTACCTGTAACTGGACAACGAAGGGAGAAGCAGCAAACTGATGTTTCACCAATCAAGATGAATGCCACCAATCAGCATGCTCCTTATTAGCACAGAAGCACTGCAACCAGGGGCGGACTGACAACTCATGGGGCCCCCGGGCAATACGGGATCATGGGGCCCCTGTGTCCCTGCCCAAACTCAAAAAAGCCTATGAAAAAGGTACCAGGGGCATCTCATGGGGCCCCCTACTGACCCCGGGCCCTCGGGCAGTGCCCGAGTTTCCAAATGGTCAGTCCACCCCTGACTGCAACTCAATCAACTGGCTCCTTGGGCATCTTCTGCCTTGAGGTATCGGCTCTATTTTACAGGGGAGTGCTAGGGGTCAACAGCCAGTAAAATTTAGGCACTAACACAGCTTATATTTAAAAAAAATACAGTATATATGTTTAATGGTGCATAAATGAAAACAGAGATGCATTCATTTGTGTCTTTCATATCTGCCGTTACCTTGGCTTCCTCCCAAACTGGCTCAAGTGTGTTTGTGGCAGGAACATTAGACTGTAAGCTCTTTGGGGGGGCAAGGACTAGTAAATAATTCTGTTAAGAACTATAAAAACACAGTAAATAAAATAAATTAAAGCTTTTCTTTTTCATGACAAATCCATGTGTATATCCTATACATGTTAAAAGTTACCCTCAATCTGCCGGTACATTTTCCAAGTGTCCTCTTCACTACCAGGAATATATTATATGTACCCTTGTAGGCTTCTTATAATAAATAATACTGGTCATTGTAAGCTGTAAATCAAACTTGTACAATATAGTTGCCAAATGCTCACGGTTCTTTACAATTCCATTTCTGCTTGATTTGACTTTATTTCTTCACAAAATATGTGAAAAATATGTGGCTATTCTCCCTTAAAAGTCATATTAATCAAACCTTGTTCTTGCCCAGCGGAGTAATAGAGTTAGAGTAGAAAATTGGAAGGAAAAGATTGGCTCATAGCTAGAAGTTGAATACATCATGTGAGTGTCGCCACAGAGCAATTGGACTCTTCTGTTAATTTCACCTGAAATGGTTTCTCTGATCAAATAAATTGGATTTC